ATAGTTTCTTTTCCCAAGCAAAAATTTCTAATATCACGCTACAGTTGCATTCTCCCACATTTTCTTCTTTCTTCCCAAACGCTGGAGTAATTCAACACATCTATTACAAAAATATACACACTGGGGCCCAAGCAGAAAGCAGTGTCCCACAATTCTTTATCCTGGCTAGAGTGCTAATCTCTCACAGTTCAGTTAGGTGGATGGCAAACAGAGGAAGGCTTCTCAGTTACCGGCTGAGAAGGACTATTTCAGGAATGTACGTGGAAATGACCCTTCCTGCTGAAAGTTTTCATCTTCTGTCAAATTAGGAAACTTGTATCTTAATTATCTACTGAATTCTCCCTGTCTGTGCTGACTGTTTACTACTTTTTGTGGTCAAGAATCACCACCGCCTGCCTGAGCAAGAGCGAGACCTCGTCTTTACAAAAAATAGAAAAATTAGTCGGGCATGATGCACGTCTGCAGTCCCAGCTTCTTAGGAGGCTGAGACAGGTGGATCACTAGAGCCCAAGAGTTAGTGGTTGTATTGAGGAATGATGACACCACTGCACTCTAGCCCAGGCGACAGAGTGAGACCCTATAAAAAAAAAAAAAATCATCATAAGTATTGAGAATATACCTTTCAGTTTCTCAGTGTTCTGTACCACTTCATTTAGTGCCTCCAAAAGGGCTAGATCCTCCAGTGGACTCCCTTCTTTGAGGCTGTGCTTTTTCCGCTCGGCTTTGCGGCGATTCTTAGATGATCTCCTATTAGAAATTAGATGTTTAGAAAGGGGCTTTCACTGTGCTGAACAAACTAAAATGAATAGGCCTGTGCCAGAGAGTCTACAGATGGTATTTGTATTTCGGGGGAAAAGGATGATGAGGTGTTAAAGCAAAACAGAAAAGAAAATTGGGAGGGGCAAGTCTTATAGGCAGGAAATAATAATGAAAATCCTAAAGAGTCATTTTTTGCCTTAAAGTTTTGATCAAAATACAGAGCAAAATGAGGTTACATCTGGTAAACAGTATTCCCCCCATTATATGCGGTTTCACTTTCCATAGTTTTAGTTACTCAAGGTCAATCATGGCCTGAAAAAAAAATAAATGGAAAATTCCAGAAACGGACAATTCATAAGCTTTAAATTGTGCACCATTATGAGTAACAAGATGAAATCTCATGCCATCCTGCCAGGAACATGAATCCTTCCTTTGTCTAGCATATTAATGCTGTCTACGCTACCCATCCATTAGTGCTTAGGGGATCAGACTAACAGCTGCGGTATGACATTGCTTGTGTCCAAGGAACCCTTACTTTATTTAATAATGGCCCCAAAGTGCAAGAGTAGTAATTCTGGCATATTGTTATACTTGTTCCATTATAGTATAAGTTGTTAATCTCCTGCTGTACCTAATTTATAAATTAAACCTTATCATTAAGGTATGTAGTACAGGAAAACACAACATATTTCAGGTTTAGTACTAGCTGAGGTTTCAGGCATTCACTGGGGGTCTTGGAACATATTCCCCTCATGGATAAGGGGAGAATGCAGTACGCTGGAACAATAAATGAAAGAACAACCAACTTAAATTTTAAAATTAAAAAAGCTAAGAAACTGAAAAGCAACAAAGTAAAATTTAAATAAGAAAATCAGACATACCAGATTGGAATCTGATTATAATAAAGTATGTATGAATCCCATTCTTGCCTGCCTCAGAGGTCTTTAATCATGCCATTTATTCTGTATGGGACTTTCTCTCTCCAACTTTTCTCCCCCCCAAGAGATGAGGTCTTGCTATGTTACCCAGGTTGGAGCACAATAGCTACTCACAGGTGTGATCATAGCACACTACAGTCTCAAACTCCTAGGCTCAAGTGATCCTCCTGCCTCAGCCTTCCATGTAGCTGGGACTATAGGTATGTGCCACCACACTCGGCTTCACCCCAACTCTTAAAAGCCCAGTTCTAATTGCCTTTCTTGCAGTTTTGATCACCACACACAATTTCACAGACCTCCACTCTAAATTCCTAAAGCACAATTCAGTTTAAATATATAATCTTGCATTGTTTAATGTCTTCCAAGCAAGACTATAAGCTCTTATAACTCATATCTCCTTGTAAGTTTCTGGTAACATCCACTGCATCTAGCATGAGTGTTGAAAAATAATTCTGACAAATTACTTTACTGAGTAAAAGTGTAATGACTTCTGTTTATGATCTCTTCCAATCCTGATTTTGAACTGAAGCAGTCTAAAATATTTTTTCTTCATAATCTTTTCATTTTTTTCAGAGCCTACACATTATGGTCACTTAACATTTGTTCAACAAGTAAAAACCAGATATTATATAAATTGAGTGCCCAGTGGAAGTGCCTCATGGGTAATGGGCAAACACACAGGCCACGCAGTCGCAGAAGAAAACATGTCAACACTAAGTCTAATCTGGTGGATGTGCTGAGAAAGTCCTTGCACAACTTCCACATAGCCTTGAAGAATATCCTCCCCAATCCCACTGCACCATCCTAGTAGAAAACCAACCTATTTGGTTCTACTGTCTCCATATGCCCAGGACATGATCAATGTGCAGAATAATCTGATACATACGCTGATATCCTGGAGTTACTATGGGAGTATTTGCCACTCATCTCACTGCCACTCACAATGCTGCTAGTTTCAGAGAAGAGGTCTGACTCTTGACCATGGAGCACCTCATCTTCTAGAAAATAAAAACCAGATGTAGATGAAAACATTGCCTGCTAATGTGGGTTTACCTTCAGGGAGGTGAATAGAATAGAGTCAACTGGGACACATCAAAGGATAGAAGAAAATTATTAAGAAGTTGCTCTCAAAATGAATAATACTAAATACAGTTATTATTACTGTAAATCAGTAGTTTACCAAACTTTTTTCTTTCTTTTTTTATTTTGGAAAACAGGGATTTTGTAAAACACAAAAGTTGTCAGCTGCTCTGCTTGTGGGGAAGTGGGGGGGATGTCTGGTAGAGCTTTTTCCATTCATTCATGGCTGGTCCCGCACCCAAGCCCTTCCCCAACACAAACACAGACATACACGGCCCCTAAGAAGTTTCACAAAGTCCTCAGACTTCACCATAGCACGGTAATCGCATCGCAGGAGGAACACTACGCAGCTCAGACAATGTGTGGTGCTGCTCGCCCTCATT